TTTTGCACAAATTTGCAAATGTAAATTTGCAGATGTAAATCCAAATGGGGATTTTTGGACAGAATTTGAAATAGAGACTGTATTATTGTGGCCAGTTGCACTAAGTTTACGTATTTACATTCATTTAATGCACTGCACTTGTGGTGTGGCACCGTAGGATCAGCACTAGACTGCAAGCCACAAGGTCAACAGTTCAAATCCACTAGCTGCTCCTCCGAAACCCTATGCAGGGTCTCTATGAGTCGGAATCACCTTGTCGGCACCTAACAACAAAACAAAGAATTGAAAAGTTTCTTTGCTACTATAGAGAAACTTTCTGTTTTCATAATTATGTGAACTGATCAGTACACATTCTATATGGTTTTATGTGATGCTTGTTATAATCCCAGTAAGATGGGATAACTTCAGAGGGTTTTTAATTACATAAAGAAAGAAAGGAACTTTAAAAACTTGTCAGATTCGTGATAGTATCAGTATACAACTAGAGGCACTAAAGTTCATTTTCAAAAGAAAATACTGCAGTTTAGTTGTCGTAAAAGCCTACAAAATAGGACACCTTTGGAATGTTTGTGTTCCACATAGACTATTACTTTGAGCTTGTATTGCCTAAAATAATTGTATTGTCTCCCTTTATACCAACTATTTGTGAAAATTTAATTGAAAAGATTCTTTAAAGTTGAATTTTATATTTGGATTTCAATAATCATAGAGAAAAGTCTGGATTTCAAGGAAGCCAAATTTTTATTGTTGATTCTAGAGACATTTTAGATTGAAGAACTAGTGGAGCTTTGTATTATTCCAAATGAATTTGCTTTTACCTGTCCTAAAATTTGCCTGAAATGTGTTGATACTGATGTAAGCTCCCAAGTCTGAAACAGTTGGAAACCATAGTGGCAGGTGAAAATTATGTTAGCTGAAACAGGGCTTTAAAAGTAGCTTTATGTGAAGACTCTGTGTCTCCATCATTTGGCACTTGAATACTTATAGTATGAAATTACACTGTGCCCCTACAAATGAAATAATATAGTCTGTCCAGTGTTCCTACTCCAGATTGCTTATGTAGTATAAAAAAAAAAGAATCTGGCTTCTTGCACCTTTGGCCATGACCTTGAGCAAGTCATTTGATTTCTTTTAGTATACGTTTCCCTTATAAATAGGAGAACGCCCATCTAACAGAATTGCTAAGAATAGTTATCTCAGCTGATAGCTGTTCTGTATGGAAGATTGGTTATTGGAGGTTGGACATCCTGTCTGTTCTGTTCTACACATAGTTCCTGAGCTTCTACAGATGGTATTTATGGAATGAATGAGTTGGTAAAGATTGCAAAGAGCTGTTTGTTATCTCTAAGACTTAAGTTATATAATATTTGAATTTCATGATGTATATATTCCTCTTATGTCCTAATTCATCCCGTTTTCCCCAAGACATAACTGACTGCTTCTCCCTCGAGCTTTCTCCAGTGTACATATCTCTACTCCGCTCTGAATTTATAGTACTTACTGGTACCACTTGCAAACTGGTTTATAGTGTTAGCTTTTCCTCCCAAGATTTCATTAGGAAAAATTTCAAATTGTCAGAATTTTATAGTGAACACCTACTTAGATTTTTTTGAAGTTTTTATTGTAAATTGAGTGATAGTTTACATAGGAGAACATGGGTTTTACACTCATTGTTTCATTGCAATGATTTCAGTCCCCTCCGTGCATCATCATTCAAGAGTATTTGCTTCTATTCCCTCTGTTTTTGTTGTGTTTTTTTTTTTGCTGGGGGAGATGTACACAAAACACTCAGGAATATATAATCATTTAAACAATTAAAGGGCACATTCTGCAAGCCTGCCTCCTGGCTGCCAGCACTCAGCCTTTCCCTTTCCACAAGTCTGGAGTCCTCAGCTGCTCTCTCACTCAGTCTCTGGTGTCGCTGCTTCTCTGGATAGGGTCCCACATTTCCACTCGTACTCTTCGCCTTCATGGTCCTAGGGTCCTCTATTCCTGGATTGTAAAATTAACTACTCCCTTTTGGTTACAAAACTTCTTCTACCTTTACAGTTCCCATCACTTAGATTTTTAAGTTAACACGTTTACAATACTTGGCTTTATCATGTATCTATCCATCCTTCCACCCATTCGTTTGAACTGCTTAATGTATTTCGAAGTGTCACAGACTGTAGTGTGCTTTCCCCTAAGCATTTCAACATGAATATCATTAGCTAGAATTTAGTATTTGTTTATGGCTTCTTTTTTTTTTTTTAACTTTTAATGTAAAATGTACATGTGAGGATACGTCGAAAAGTTTTGCTATAAAACCGTAGAAACCTTTATTAAAAAATCAGAATCTGAGACTTGTTTCTCAACATATCCTCCATCTAGGTTTATGCATTTCTGAAGGCATTGTTTGCATATTGCTCACTCTTCCCACAAAGAATTCTGTGCTCTTCAAGGTATGGCAATTTTAGCATACTCAAGGGACTTGTGTTCCTTTTCAAAGTTCTTTGATTTGTCAGAACAAAAATAAGTTTGAATGTGTAAGATGAGGGCTCTAGGGTGGATCAGGTAACGTTTTCGAACAAAACTCTCCTGGGACAGCCCTTGCTAATCTTGAAGAATGAGCAGGTGTGTTGTCATAGTGGCACTTCTTTAACATAGGCCCCCATGTTTGCGTTGTGTCTTTTGAGGAAATCTGCCAAGATTACCCCTTTGGAGTTCCCAAAACAGTCACCGTAACTTTCTGAGCTGACCTCTCTGCCTTAAATAACCAGCATTAAGGTGCCTTAAAAAAAAAAAAAGAAGTCCATCCAAGACAGTGGCTTACGAAGGGGATCTGCTGATTAAATAAATGTCCTCGTTAGGCACTGTTCTGATTGGACCTTATTTTGAAAGGCACCGTAATGAGAGAAATTATCTGCAGCCATCTACTGATCACAGATGTGCTTAAACACATTTTGTTTGAAGTGATGAACCGGAACCATAGTAGTAAGTGTATAAGTCTTAAGTGAACTTTGTGTGTTTATATATATATATATATATATATAGGAGCTCTGGTAGCGTAGTGGTTACGAATCGGGCTGCGAACCTTAAGGTCAGCGGTTCGAAACTACCAGCCGCTCCGCGGGAGAAAGATGAGGCTTTCTACTCCCGTAAAGATTTACACCCTCGGAAACCCTGTACAGGGTCGCTATGGGTCGGAACCGACTCGAAGGTACTTAACAACAACAGGTAGTAATAGTATATCTTGGGCCCTGCTGTGAAACTGTAGGATAAGCACTGGACTGGTAATTGCAAGGTCGGCAGTTCCAACCCACCAGGTGCTCTCAGAAACCCTCTTCAGGGTTTTTATGAGTTGGAATCAATTTGATGGCGCACAACAACAGCAGTGTTTCTTGAAACACTTATCTTGCATGGTAACCTTTTTGATTGCTACGTAATTTTCTATAAGACTGTGCTAAGTTCATTTAGCTATCAAAGGACCCTATTGTTGTTAAGTGCCGGTCAAGTTGATTCCGACCCATAGCAACCCTGTATTGTATAAAGGACCTTCCCTAGAGGACAGAGTAAAACTGCCCCAAGATGTCAATTTGAGAACGAAAGTGGCCCAGACCCAAGCCATGTCATCGTCAATAAACTCCTGCATTTATGCATCAGACTGCCAAGCTCACCAGCTGCTCCTCGGAAACCCTATATAGGGTCGCTATGGGTTGGAATCAACTCGGCACTTAACAACAAGAGCAACATAATGCATTTGAAAGTTGGACAGTGACTAAGGAAGAGTGTAGAAGAATTGATCCATTTGAGTTGTACTGTTGGAGAAGAATATTGCAAATACCATGGACTTCCAGAAGAATAAACAAATCTGCATTGGCAGAAGCACAGCCATAATGCTTCTTAGAATTGAGGATGGCAAGACTTTGTCTCACCTACTTTGAACATGTTGTCAGGAGCCAGTTCCTGGAGAAGGACATCTTATTTTGCTGTAGAGGGTTAGTGAAAAAGAGGAAGACCCTCAGTGAGCTGGATTGGCACAGTGGTTCCAACAGTGAGTTCAAAACCCAGGACCCATTGTGAAGATACTACAGGGCTGGACAGTGTTTTGTTCTGTTGGATATCGTCTCAAAGTTGACGTAGTGTAGTGGTAGACCATCAGCTTTACACATGAAAGAGCCCCAGTTTGAAACTGGGTGAAAACAGACGACGTCCACAAATCACATTAAGGAGCCCTGGTGGTACATTGAAGTAACTGTTAGCCTGTGATAGTAGTTTAAAGGAGCCCTGGCGGCACAATGGTAAGCACTCAGCTGCTAACGAAAAGATCAAAGGTTTGAACCCACCAGTGGTGATCTGCTTTCGTAAAGATCACAGCTAGAAAACCTTGTGGGCTAGTTCTACTCTGTCATCTGGGGTCATGCTATGAGTGGAAAGTGCCTCCACAGTCCCCAAGAACAACGGGGTAACCTGATCTCCTTTTGTAGATCAGGAAACTAGACAAAGGTTATAAAGTTTAGAATTTGAGTTAGGACTAGAATCCAGGTCTTGATAGGTATCTGATCTTCATCAGTAAATATTTTAAGTCCTCTTCACTTTCAGCAAGCAAGGTTGTATCGTCTGCATCTCGTAGGTTGTTAAGGAGTCTTCCTCCAATCCTGATGCCACGTTTGCCTTCATATTTACTGAGTTTTTTGGATTATTTACTCGATGGCACCTAACAACAGCTGTATCTGAGAAAGGAGCTCTGGTAGCATAATGGTTATGAATTGGGCTGCTAACCTCAAGGTCAGCAGTTCGAAACCACAAGCTGTTCCAGGGGAGAAAGATGAGGTGTTCTGCTCTCGTAAAGATTTACAGCCTTGGAAACCCTGTACAGGGTCACTATGAGTCGGAACCGACTCCACGGTACTTAACAACAACAGGTAGTTAAACTTATACTTGAGTGGACTGATCCTAAGCTGTACACATCATATTAGAGTAGGAATTGATTTCGATGCCATTGTGTTTGGTTCTTACAGGTTTCGTAGTGCATCCCTGAGCATGAGCGCAGAATGAAGCGGCGTTTGGATGAGCAGGAGTCACCGGTATATACGGCCCAGCAACGTCGGCTTCCTGGCAGCACAGAGGCTTTTCCTCATCAGCACCGCGTGCTTGCCCCTGCCCCTCCTGTGTATGAAGCAGTGTCTGACAACATGCAGTCAGCCACAGGGATTCAGTACTCTGTGACACCCAGCTATCAGGTAAGATGCAGCCAACCAAATTGATAAGGGGAGGGGAGGAGGGATAGTGATTCCATCCAATCAAATATTTTAAATATTGGATTGCTGTTGTTGTTGTTAAGTGCCGTCGAGTCAGTTCCAACCCAGAGCGACCCTGTATAGGGTTTCCAGGGAGCATCTGGTGAGCTAAATGGGGTATGTGTAAGGTATTGACAAAATGACAAAAACAGCATACACTTACTATACATCCAGCACACAGGTTAAGAAAAAAAGGCAAGAATGTCATCGTAACCTCTAACGTTTACCGTGTGCCCTCCTTGATCCCTGTGGTGCTCCTTCCTCTCAGAGGCAGCTGCTAATTAGAACTTTGTGTTAATCATTCTCTTTTATTATTTTTGTTTATATGTCATGAACAATGGTATTGTTTAATTTGTGTGTCACTGAACTTTTACATAAGTGTTGTCTAATTTCTTCTTTGGTTCATTTTGTTTTTATTCAGTGTTGTTCTTAGACTTACTCATATTTTTATATTTTTATGTGTAGCTGTAATTAAGTAATTTCCACTCTGGTATAAATTATATGAACATACTTTTCATTCTCTTGTTGTTGGATGGTGTATACTTTTGCTATTACAGAGGTGCTGCCGTGAACATTCAGCGGTGACAGTCAACAGCAGGATAAGCTGAAGCAGAATGTAAATCAACACATTACTTCATTTAACAATATACAACTTTTTTAATTTTCTGAAATTTATTAAAAAAAAAGGCAGTTGAATTAAGCAGAATGCTTCTGTCAAGAGTGATGTTACATTCCACTTGAACAAGGACCCTTATTGTAGACCACTCAGGTTTGAGGACACATGAGGAAGAGTTTCCTGATCATCTGGAGGAAGGATTGCTACATCTTAGCATGTACCCATCTCAATTTTAGTTGTGTTAAGTACTGTTGAGTCAGTTCTGACTCATTGTGACCCTGTGTATTGTTTACAAAGAGCAGCTAGTGGGTTTGAACTACCAACCTTATGGGTAGCCTACAGAATTTTAGTAGGTGATACCAAATGGTTTTCTAAGTTGTACTAAATTTTAGTCCTCTCCGCATTATATAAAATGATTCCTATGTCCCACATCCTGACCAACACTGATCTGTCTTGTCTGCATATTCTGTTTTGTGGAAATGGAAGAAATTTGCCTGTTGTTGTTGTTATTGCTTATAAAATACTGAGTTTTGATTTAAGGTGATGGAAAAATCACATTTATCAAGGGCAGGGACTATTGTAAGTGCTGTCGGAAAGTTGTACGCCTTTGTACAAAAAGCCGAATTGGCAAAACTGTGAACACATTGACAGAAACAAACGAGTGGTTACTGAGACTGCCTCTGTGCACACTCAATACTGCAACTGTATTGTCCTTAAGGGTTTCATCCATAGTGTTCCGCTCTAGGTCATTGTGAATCATGTATTATTTAACTGGCCTGGAGATACCTTCTTCAGCCTAACTTGATGGTGGTGGTGGTGGTAAGTGCTAGCAAGTCAGTTCGATTCATAGCAACCCTGTATAGGGCTTCCAAGTGGTGACTGGTGGGTTTGAACCGCTGACCTACAGTGGCACTCCATAACCCCTAAGCTGGCATGTTGCTGATGAGTGCCATCAAGTTGTTCCGACCCTTAGCAACCCTGTTGGATTTTCATGTAGTGGCTCGTAAGCTTAAACTGCCAACCTTGAGGTTCAAACTGACTTTGAAGTCCAGTGCATTAACCCACAGCTCCATACCAGGAGTCTTGGTATAGTGACTTTAAAAATACATGACTGGTATTTGGAGTGTAAATTAGTGTAATCATTCTTCACAGCAATTTGGCAGTTCACATCAAATTCTTTAGTTACCTTTTGACTTCGCAGTTCCCTTTATAGGAATTTATTCTAAGGAAACAATCGAGTAAAGTAGGAAGTGGTGATTTATTTATTGTCACACTTCCTGAGGCGTCCCCATTGAAACGGTATCATACTTTGCTATTGGGCGGGCGTAGTGACAGGCAGCTTTTTCTCTGTGGGTGGTTACTTTTATTATCTGAACAGGTTGACAACTGTTTCGTATACTTGGGGTAGTTACATCTTTAATGTCCATATAAAACCAGCTATGTCAAATATTTACAAACTTTAATTCGTATAAAAACCTGTCAAACCATACATGTTAGAATACAGCAGCTCAGAATTACAACCCTTCTTGCAAGATATATAGTAGAGCTTCTAGAATTATCTTAAGTAGCTTTCCTTTTGCTCCTAATGTGTTGTATTGTTTCCATGAGTTTATAAATTTTCTATTTCTTCTCAGGATAGTAGTTCTAAACTATTCTCTTAAGTTGTGGTACCTCTTACTTTGCTTGTTGTTGTGAAGTGCCATCAAGTTGGTTCTGACCCATAATGACCCTGTATAGGATTTCCAAGGAGCCCCTGGTGAACTTGAACTGCCGACCTTGCGGTTCAAACAGCTTTGCAGTCTGGCACATTAACCCACAGCACCACACCAGGACTCCTTTGCTTACAGGAGGAAAAATTCATTTTGTTTGGTTTCCTTATTTGAAAGTTAAATCATGTTAAAATACATGCATCTGTAACATTGCTATTTGAAGTGTGGCTAGTCTATATACTTAATTTAATCTGTGATAACACAAATTGAGTATTTAGAAACTTTTGTAGCAATTCCATCTAATAGAATTGAATAACTGAAGTTATAAGCTTATCTTTCCCCCCTACTTTCAACAATAGCTTTTTTTGAGATATAATTCATATGCCTTATAACTTGCCCATTTAAAGTATAGGAGTCAGTGATTGTTTTTTTTTAATATAGTCACAGATCTATGACACCATCAGCACAGTCAATTTTAGAACATTTTCATCACCTCAAGAAGAAATCCTGTGTGCTCAAGCTGTCATCATCCCTCAATACTCCCATGCCTTAAGCAACTGCTAACCTACTTTCTGTCTATAGATTTCCCTCTTCTGTCCTTCCGTATGAATGGAATCATATAACATGTGGCTTGATGCTGCTAAGTGCTGGCGAGTCAGTTCCACTTCATAAATTTCCAAGGAGGAGCTAGTGGGCTTGAACTGCCAACCTTGTAGTTAGACCGATGATTATCCTACGGTGCCACTCCAGGACTCCATGATGCATTAGAGTTTTTTTTTAAACTCTTGTGGATTTTGTTGTTGAGCATATACACAGCAAAACATATACCAAATTCTGTAGCTTCTACGTGTACCGTTTATTGACACTGATAACATTCTTTGTGCAACCATTCTCACCTCCTTTTCTGAATTGCTTTCCCCATTTATATAAACATACTGCTCTCCCTAAAGTTCTTATTTAAACTTTCAAGTAAGATTTTAAAAAAGAAAAATGTTACTTACCAAAGATTGCTTAAGAAGCACATTCACCTGTGTACTTTTTAATAGCTGCAAAGAATTCTTATTATGTGGATAGACTACAATTTATTGCATCCCATTTTGTGCATTTTGTTTTTTGGGTTTTTTTTTTTTTTTTTTTTCATTTATGTCTCTTTCTCGGACAGCTTTGGGGGAAATGTGTAAGCCTTGACATTTCTGTGTGTGTTTTGTCTACCTAGGTTTCGGCTGTACCACAGAGCTCCGGCAGTCATGGGCCCACCATAGCAGCAGTTCACAGCAGCCATCATCACGCCACAGCTGTGCAGCCCCATGGTGGCCAGGTGGTCCAAAGTCATGCTCATCCCACCCCACCTGTTGCACCAGTGCAAGGACAGCAGCAGTTTCAGAGGCTCAAGGTGCTCTGCAGCTCCTTTTCTTCAGTCATTTTGTTTTTATCTGAGTGGGAAACATTGACTTCTGCTTATTTAGTGGCGCTCTTACAATTTTCAACATTTAGAGTAAATGATTGCATCACAAGAAGTTTTACCTTCGTTTTGTTTTGAAGCCTGTTTATATTTCTATTTTTAGCACCAATGTCGACTCCAGAGGAGAACACTTATACACTCAAGAAATGTTTGAGGAATGTATGAATGCGTGGTTTTCAAACATATCGGGATTGAGGGACTGTTTTCATACAAAGTTACCCTTAAAGTTCATTATTTTGGATGCCTCCTTTTGAACTCTTATCTCTTAGCATAAGGTTTTATCGAACGCATACATAATAGACAACAGGCCCAGTAACATACTTTACAGTGTACTCTTTTTATTGTTCGTGGATAGCTTAGCTGGCATCTTCAAGTCCATTCTTAGTAAGACACATGCTCCTTTTAAAGTTTGGGGGAAACTATCATTGTGAATGAAGAGTCAGTGTTTTCATCTGTTCTGCTGAGTTTGTGCCGTATCTTTTCAGTGCTTTGAAAATTCATGAGACATCTGTGGAGAAGTGAAGCTTGTGTTCCCAGCTAACCTTGTCTCTCTCCTTACTTGAGAGTTACTTTTCTAAATGTGTAATTGTTGAAGCAAGTGTTCCATATTTCAACTTTTCTAATTTTACATTTATATAAAATTTGAAATTGAATATAGGAAATACAAATTAAAGAACTAGAAAAAGATACGATGGTAGAGTTTAATTTAGGTATATCAGACTAATTATATCGAGTTGCTTGAAGGCAGGAATGAATAATACCCTCTTGAAGGAATTTGAAGGATACATCCCTGTGCAGCAAATATTTCAGTCTTCTGTTCTCCCTCATTGAGTTCTAAGGAACTTGTTTATTGTTGGCCTACGGAAGTTAAAATGCTGCATAAATAGCATAAAGTATGCCAAACCCAAATCATGTAATTTTATAAAAATTACTCTCAGTAAACTGAGAGCATAATCTTTAAAGAGACTACAAATTATTCCAGCCTAAAACTTCATTCTGGACTGTCTTTGGGATAATTTGTATAAGCCCTTTTGCTGTTTTCCATCCAGTGTTACTACTATGCTTATACAGTGGTGGCTGTGTGCCAAAATGTATTACTGTTAATGACTTAACACTGTACCAAATCCTGAAAATACTTTTAAAATTTGCTGTGATGTGACTTAATTCCACATTAGTAGTGTATTCAACAGTTAATACCTTAATGTTACAAAAGATCTTTATAAATTTGCTATTAAACTTCCAAAAAATATTTTTCAGCCACCTTTATGAAAACACACCACCTATTTTACTCAGTTTCCTCACAGGAGTCTTGGGTAGATGTATATGGATTGTACTTTGTTTTATAGAAACTGGCAAAACAGCAAGGAAGGGCTATGAAGTCCGATTTTAGAACAGGCAGAGTTTGCATTCTTTGTTCCTTTAGTTAGTTGCAAGCTCTTGAATGTGTTTCCTCAACACAGTGACTTGGAGCAGCGTTTCCTTTTTAACGAGGAGAGTAAAAGGATTTCTTATGCCTCCGTGAAATTTAATTCAATATTACCATATTATTTGTCATATTTGGATCCGTCTTAAAATGCTTTGTAAACATTTAAATCAGCATTAATCCATTTGCTAAATTCTTTATTTAAAAATATTCAGTAGGAATGCTTAGGTTATTTCAAGCATCAAATTGTCTATACTTTTCTTTCTGTCTTTGGCAGGTTGATGACAAGGAAGATTTGAATAATTTGAGGCATACCTGGTGTGTTGTAGTTTTATTGGTTGAATGCCAGCACCGTAGGTGTTAGGCACATGTTTAGCAAGTTCTCTTGAGAGTAGCTTGTGTTGATCTCCCTAACAAGATTCAGGAATGAAGGCGCTTGATAACATAACATGGCTGTTAACATGATCAGGACAATTCATCAGCAGAGTCTTCACATTGTCCTCAAATGCCCACCTTAATTCTGGTGGTGGTAGTGGTGTGCCGGTGAGTCGCTTCCGACTGACAGCATCCCTGTAAAGCCTCATTTTTCACCCGTGGAGCAACTGGTAGATTCAAACTTCTGACCTTCTGGTTAGCAACCCAGTGTGCAACCAGGGCTCCTACTTAAAGTCTGTAGCTACTGAATTACTAGTTCCAAGTTGTCATTTTAAAGTTCTGTTTCTTAGAATTCTATACATGCTTTTATAGAAAGTTGTATTGTACTGTAGGTAATGGGAGAATTTCCTCACGATTCTTAGATGCTGGTATCTCATTTATAATGTGGGTGTCATGCTGGATTTTTTAAGCATAGCAGTATTTTATAACTAATGGTTAAACAGTGGTTCACTATGACTATCAAGTACCTTTTGTTCCACACATATATATAACATTCCTTTCCTTTGGGTTCCTGTAATTTTTGTTCTTGTTAAAAAATTAATGTATTTTGTCACTCCACTCGTTTCCACAGAAATGGTCATGTTATTTGTAAAGTATAGGAAAACCAACCATCAAAGGGGAATGGGTATTGATCAAGTACGCAATCTATGTTCTAGCAAATGAAACACACTTGATTAACCTTTGCCATAATGACCTTTGGGCAACTCTTTAAATACCACTTAGTGGTTTATTTAAACTTAACATGTTATATTTCATAATATAACAGTGTTGTTGTTAAGTGTTATTTTTAACTTTTTATTGTGAATTGAGTAAAGGCTTACAGAGCAGATCATCAATTTCACATTCCACAAATCATCTACCTTGCTTCATTATATGGTTGCAATCCCCTCCAGGCACCACCAGTTACCAGCGTTTACCTTTATTCACCCCTCTCTGTCTCCCATTACCCCATCTTTCTCTTCAGTTGTATGTTACCTGCCTCATCACCCATGTCAACGCGTGTCTTACTTTGTATAACTTTTAAAGTACATTATGTATCTGTCCCAAAATTGTTGTTTTTGTTAAGTGCTGTCCAGTCGATTCTGACCCATAGCGACGCTGTATAGGGTTTCCAAGGAGAAGCTGGTAAGCTTGAACCACCAACCTTGTAGTTCAAATAACTTTGCAGTCTGACATATTAGCCCAAAGTTGTTTGAACTGCAAGGTTGGTAGTTCAAGCTTACCAGCTTCTCCTTGGAAACCCTATACAGGGTTCCAAAGTAGAAGAGATAAAAAGCTTGTGGAAAAAAATGGCATGAAAAGATAATTTTGAAAGTGAAAAAATGAAAAGGAATTTTTTTGTGAACTTTTTGAAGCCTCCTCATATATAGGCACCATCAAGTGGGCATTTCTGTTGAATGTCTCAAGGTAGCTAAAAATTGAGTTGTTCAAATCAAACTCATAATAACTTTCTAGCTGTTCAACGTGTTCCTTTTGTGTGGTGGGTTACCGGGAATGAAGGCTAGAAGTCTGGTTATAGGGGGAAGGTCTTTGTCTTGTCTGTTTCCACTTGGTAGTAGCAGTGATCCTTGGAAGTTTTCCTGGTCTTGTAGACTCATCTGTTTCCATCATCTTTAGAATAGTGTCTGTCTTCTCCCCAGTTCCTTCTGTGCCTGATCTGCTCTTTATGGCTCATAAGTGATTTTTAGGACAAACCCTTGGCTGATGATGGTTCAATAACATAACAGAGAAACCCACTAGCAAATGGGGTTACATTCATTAGCATAAACCTATTTAGGTAGTCAGTTCCTGATTCATAACAACCTCATGTGAGTTGCATAATAAATGATATATGACCATAAAAATTAATGATAACCATAGTTACATTTACTTGGGGGCAGGGGGCACCAAACTACAATAACCATTCAAAAGGAATATTAGTAATGTGGAGAGACTGACAGCAGGGATACCAGTTGGGACTTGGGAATTGGTTCCAGTTGACCTCCGTGCTTTCTTAATTGGGGGAGCCCTGCAAGTACAGTGGTTAAGTATTCAATTGCTAACTTAGAGGTTGGTGGTTTGAACCCACCTCACAGGACAAAGCTATGGTTGGTCTGCTTTCGTCAGGATTACAGCCTTGGCGACCTTGTGGGGCCGTTGGACTCTGTCCTATAGGGTTGCTGTGTGTGAGTCAGAATTGACTCACGATGGGTTGCAGTTTAATTTTTATAGAGGTAGCCATATCTGTCTTCCTCATAGCTGCTGGTGAGTTTCAACTTTTCGGTTAGCATACAAGTGTTTTAACAACTCTGCCACCAGAGTACCTTTCCACAGGTGTGTTGGTAAGTGCTGTCGAGTTGGTACCAGTCATAGTGATCCTATATCGAGTTTCCAAAGAGTGGCTGGTGAGTTTGAACCACCCTTTGTGCTTCACACCAGGACTCCTTTGCACAGGTACAGGGGTTAGGATTTCCAGCACAGTTACTGGGTGTCACAATTCAATCTATAACACTTTCTTAAAAGCGTTTGACTTTATCCAGTTGTCTCTCTTTCTTTGGCCGCTGTATGTAATTCAGGGTTCTATTGGAGTCCTAAGGAGCTCTGGTAGTGCAGTGGTTACGAATCAGTGTGCGAACCTTAAGGTCAGCTTCGAAACTACCAGCTGCTCTGCAGGAGAACAAGGAGGCTTTCTGCTTCTATAAAGATTTACAGCCTTGGAAACCCTGTCGCTATGGTTCAGAACCAACTCAACGGCACATAACCACCACCACCACCCCATTGGAGTTCTGGAGTGACACTGTGGGTCAATGTTCTGGACTGCAGATTTGGTTTGAACCTCAAGGTTGGTGGTTCAAACTCACCAGCTGCTCCTCAGAAACCCTATTACAGAGTTGCTGTGGGTCAGAACTGACTCGATGGCACTTAACAACAAACACTTGTTCTCACAGGAATTACCCCTATAGCATAATTAGTCTCCCTACCGCCTTCCAATCCGCCCTACCCTTTGGCCAATTCCTTCCCAACATCCCAGCCAAATTGAGTATACTGAAATGCAGATGACAAAATCTAAATTGATTTTAACAAGATTTACAAGGCCTTTCAGGCTCTAGATCCTGCTTCCTCTCTTTTCTCATATATTGCCACTCTTCCTACTGCCTGCCTCTCTAATCCTCCACCACAAATCCTCTAGCCAAACTAAGCTGTCTTCAGTTTTCCAAATGTACCAGATGGTGTCCTGTGTGGGATTTTACCCAGGCTTGTTCCTCTGACGCTCTTCACAGGTCTTCACTTTTGCTAGCTTGTACTCATCCTTAGATCTTAGTTTAGACCTCTTCTAGGCAAGTCTTTTGTAATAGAGTGCCCTCCCTGTGTGTCTTTGGCGTTCAGGATTACCTACTTTCTCTACCGTGTTGCAATTCCCTACTAGATGTGAATGAACCTCTGCACAGCAGACACTGGCTTATTATAATCTTTATGTGTATTATTTCTGTTGCATTTACTCTCTTTTTATTTTTACTTATATAATATGTTTATTGATCATTCCTGGTTTCTTTGCTTTTTTATAATCTTGAGGTTTATCCTTGTCTCAGGTGGAGGATGCGTTATCCTATCTTGACCAGGTGAAGCTGCAATTTGGTAGTCAGCCTCAGGTCTATAATGATTTCCTCGACATCATGAAGGAATTTAAATCTCAGAGGTAAATAACATACATGGGTGTAGTTTGGCTTTGTGTTTGGTGTGTTGATTTGGGCAGCGGGGGAGGATATGACTTATTTTTATCTGCTAAAAGACAAAGGATGGCCCATTAATTTTTAGAGTCACACCTTTATTTTATGTATTGCTTTATTGATTGAAGTGACAGGAACTAGCCCTTTGCTTTCTCTTAGTGCATGCTTTCTGTCATGGAAGTAGCATTGGTAATGATGTAGACTATTTAACTTCTGAATGAATTTAAGATACGCTGGTATTTTTGGCATAGTCCACAAATATAGGAGAGCAACTTGTATGAGCAGTGTAGACACACCCAGTAAATAATTTACACACGTGTTTCAAAGCTTGAACGTGGCTTGGGAAATACAACTTTCGGTTTACTATCTGAATATCTGTCTGACAGAACTGTTAGCATGGATGTGTCTTCTGTTCAAAATTGTGACCAAGCCTCACTGATTTAAAGTTAAATGGCTTTTGAATTTTAGAATTCTTTATGTGTTGTTAATAGTAGTTTTTTTTTTAAGTTTTTATTGTGAATTCAGTGACAGTTTACATGGGAGAAAATCAGTTTTATATTTAGGTTTCATTGCAGTGATTACAATCTCTTGTTAATAGTATTTTATGTCTATTGATTTGTATTGATTTTTTTTGTTATGAGAACCTAGTGGAAAGTGAATGTTTTTCTTTGTAGGGTTTCTCTCAAGCATGCCATCCGTTTTCTTTTTCTTTTGTTCTGATTTATCAGCATTGACACTCCGGGAGTGATCAGTCGGGTGTCCCAGCTATTCAAAGGCCATCCTGACCTGATCATGGGCTTCAACACGTTCTTGCCCCCTGGCTACAAAATTGAGGTGCAAACCAATGACATGGTGAATGTCACAACTCCTGGCCAGGTTCATCAGATCCCCACCCATGGCATCCAGCCTCAGCCTCAGCCACCATCCCAACATCCTTCCCAGCCTTCAGCCCAGTCAGCCCCAGCTCCTGCTCAGCCTGCTCCTCAGCCCCCACCTGCAAAAGTCAGCAAGGTGAGCACTTGGAAAGTTTTGCATCATGTGACTTGCATCCCTAGAAAGTTTTGCATCATGTGACTTGCATCTCTTAGACATTTTCCCTTCATAATAATACTTGGATAGATACACAAGTTACAATGATTTCACTAGTGTTGATGCAGTTGACTCACATAGCTATAAAATACTTCACGTTTACACACCAAATAGTCATATATCTGACTACTAGGTGTAAAGTTTGCAGTTCAAATCCACACATAGGTGAAGTCAGGTCTTAAAAATCTGCTTTAGAAAAATCACAGCCTCGAAAGCCTGTGAAACACAGTTCTCAGCACACGTGGGGTTTCCATGAGTCAAAATCACTCGACTACAACTAACAACAACCATTTAAATTAACACAACAATCTGTAAGGATCTTTATGCCCCAAATTTCTACTTAGTGAACCAGTGAGTCTCCAAACAGTTGTGACTCTGGCAACAATGGTCCTCTTGTCATGATCAAATTAGGCTGCTGCCCACATGTTCATCATCTTACAAACTTTATTCCCTTTGCCAGGTTAGGTCAGAGCAAGCCGACAGAAGATCCAGTTGATAATGGTGATGATCATTGTAGCGTTTAGTCTAGAACTGCACTGTCCCAGGGTGGTAGCCACCAGCCAGCCTCCTATGATATGACTGTGTCTAAATGAATTAAAATAATCCAGATTTTTATTTGCTGTAGCCACATGTCAAGAGCTCCAAACCACGTATGACTAATGCCTATCGATCATACCATAAAACTCCACTGCTCTCGAGTCGATTTAGACTCATAGTGATATGCTGTATAGGATTTCTCAGGCTGTAAATCTTGATGGAATCAAAAAGCCTCATATTTCTCCCTTGGTGGGTTTGAACTGCCTACCTTGTAGTTAGAAGTTCAGTTCTTACCCTTTAGTGCCACCTGGGCTCCTAGTGCCTATCTTACAGGACAGTGCAAATAAAGAACATTTCTATCATATAAGAGTCCTAAGGAACCCTATTATCACTGTCAGATAAGCATTAGACTGCTGGTCCACAAGGTCAGCAGTAAGAGCCCACCAGCCATTTCAAGAGAGAAGGATGAGGCTTTCCTATGCCTTAAAAGATTTGTAGCCTCAGAAACCCGATATGGGTCACTAGAAATCAGAATCAACTCCTTGGCAGTGAGTGAGAAGAGAGACCCATATAGCCGTGGTCTAGAAGACTCTCTATGTGAAATTATGCAGCAGTTGAGGTGATACCTTTTTTGACTTTAAATTCTGAGGTAGAATGAGTTCCTTTCTATTTGTGCCTGTTGAGTTAATGAACTTAAAAATTATATATGTCTCTAGTTTTGTGGTTTTATGTAGAAAATTTTAAACTAAAGTATTTGTAGTAAAATGTTTGAGCCCTTCAGATCTCTCACTACTTCCCAGTAATGATTTGCATTGATGTAAAATGACCTAGCATGAATAAACAAAGGATGTAAGTTAATCAGAAATGTTATTTCTCCTTAATTTGCCGTTTCTTTCCTATGTCAACCTTTCTGTGTTCCTGAGAAAACTTTTTTTTTTTTTAAAGCCTTCCCAACTACAAGCACATACTCCAGCCAGTCAGCAGACTCCCCCACTCCCACCATATGCATCGCCACGTTCTCCACCAGTCCAACCTCACACACCAGTGACAATCTCGTTGGGAACGGCCCCGTCCTTGCAGAACAATCAGCCTGTGGAGTTTAATCATGCCATCAACTATGTTAATAAGATCAAGAACAGGTTCCAGGGTCAGCCAGATATCTATAAAGCATTTCTGGAGATTTTGCACACATATCAGGTAAGTGGCTTTGCCCTTTGCAGCCTCATTTAACCAGTTCACCCTCTAAGGGCCTGTTTCAAGAAGAACCTGAAGAACCCTTGGGTGGTGTTGACTAATCCTTACTGGAAGTTAATCAACTAGAAAATACAGTGACTGTATAGAAGGCCCATTTGACTTGCCTGACATAATTGCCCTGCAGCAAACAACCAGTCAGGATTTTTAAAGTTACTACCTGTGAAACGAAAGCTTGTTTATCTGGGAAATTTGGAGGGCAAGTTGAATTGTATAGTATAGTTAATCTACAGTTGTTGTTTTGTTATGTGCCGTGGAGTCAGTTCCGACTCATAGTGACCCTGTACAGGGTTTCCGAGGCTGTAAATTTCTTTACGGGAGCAGAAAGTCTCATCTTTCTCCCGAGGAACAGCTGGTAGTTTCGAACGCTGACCGTGAGATTAACAGCCCGATTTGTAACCACCACACTACCAGAGCTCCTTGATCTACACTGGAAGGAGATATTTCTCTAATGCTTGGTGTTTTATTGGTTGGGAGTTGTCCATGGGCATTTACTGTCACTATCCTAGTTTTTAACAGAATTATCAGTCACCATCTTCTTTCTACTCCTTTCTCAATTTAAATGCCGGCAGTCAAACAGGTGCTAAGAATAAGAACACAGACTGTTTTTAAGTGCAGCCTAATATATAACAGGATATCAGGGTGGCTCTAGGATAAGCATGGGACTGTGAACCACAAGGTGCAACATTTGAGTGCACCAGTTGCTCCACAGGAGAGAGATGAGACTTTCTACTCCCACAAATATTTTTTAAAAACCAAAAAGCCTCGGAAATCCTATAGAGGGTCACACTATGAGCTGGAAGCAACTCCAGAGCACAACAGCATCAATACTTAACATCCAGAGCTCCAATCAGAAAGTATACAAGGGGGGAGTAGTTCAAAACAGTGGCACACTAATATGATCTCTTTGCATTTGTAATTTTCTATCAGAAAGAGCAGCGAAATGCCAAGGAAGCTGGAGGAAACTACACTCCAGCATTGACTGAGCAGGAGGTGTATGCCCAGGTAGCTCGTCTCTTTAAAAATCAGGAAGATCTGCTTTCAGAGTTTGGACAGTTCCTACCAGATGCCAACAGCTCCGTGGTAAGTTCTGTGTACAAAAATTACACTGTTTTAAGATTGTTACCGTCTTAGGAAGCTGGAATCAGAAGCAGACTTTTCCTAGATGATACTTCTTGCTTTGATAAGAGCATTAATCTCTTTCATGTGTCTTAATCAGCTTTTAAGCAAAACAACTGCTGAGAAGGTTGACTCTGTGAGAAATGACCATGGAGGCACTGTGAAGAAGCCCCAACTGAACAACAAGCCGCAGAGACCCAGCCAGAACGGCTGCCAGATCCGCCGGCACTCGGGAACAGGAACTACCCCTCCGGTTAAAGTGAGAAATTAGCCGTGTTTGTCCATTTTGGTGGACAGGACTCTGGGGATAATGATTTGTTCTTATCTAAAACATGCTGACAGTTGGATTGTGGATATTTGGAGTGAGTTAGTATATGTCACGTAATGTTAGTGCAAAGCTGCTTATCTGGCTTTGCAAAGGAATGTTAGAGTGACGTTAATTGCTTGGATTACTGTTACCTTTTCAGTTCTTACTGGTTTTCTTTTTCGTTATTAGCTGTCATCTCTTTTTTCTTGTTGTTGCTAAGAGTTTTCAAGACATAAGCTTTCCCTCATCTGATTTGATGTGCTAAGAAAGATTGAGTTTGGTGTGTTTCAGAAATAAGTCAGTGGTCTCTTGAGGTCCTCTTGCATTATCTTTGTTCGAGTGGCCCCTTCTGCCCAGGGTTTTTATTGAGTTGCCAGTTCTTATCTGAATCATGTCACTGCCTAAGGCAGGACTGTTAGGCTGCAGCAGAGGGAGGCCTTAAACTCCTGTTAGTGCCCTGTCTCGTGACATTTATCTTCCAGCAAACACTGATGATCTTCTTGTCAAAAATTTGCTGTCATCTTCTTTGATATAGTGCGGCTGTGATAGGGAAGCACAAGGTGCAAGGATTGAAGACTGCTTTGGTGCATTCCAAAGGAATACGTAATGTGGAAGAGATAGGTGTGTCTGCAGAATTTAATTAAAGATAGCAAAACCAAGTGAAATGAAATAAATAGCTGGTGAAGAAGTAAATAGCTACAAAGACCGACGTGTTAGGTGTTACTGGCACTTCTGAAAGACCCTACTTTTTAGGGTTTGTGTTGTAATGGTTTCTCCTTTTGAAATCACATTGGACCTGGTAATGGTTTATATTTCTTTGCTTTAGTAGTAAGGATCTGCTCAGTGTATATGCTCCACTCTTGAATTGGTTTCCTCCACATTTAGTTACCCACAGGTGGAAACATTATATTAGGTGCAGACAATGCCCCACCTTCTTTCTCCTCAGGCTTGTGTAAGCAGAGGCTATGGCTCCTAAGAGAGTTTACGTGGGGATTCGAAAGGTAAGGGTACTGCCTCTTACAGTGCTTGTGCCTCTCTTCATAGATAGTTGAGAAGTGTTTTGTTTTGTTTTGAAGTAAATTCTTGTTTGACAGGGTTATGTCATGGTTTGTTAGTTTCCTTTAAAAGAGTAATCTTAAGATTAGTCTGAATGGATTTGCTGACAAGACAGGAAACAATTTCTTCTGTTAGGAAACTATAAACTGTTTTTATCGTCTCTGAAAAAGTTTCATTGAATTATGGGTAAAAACTTTAACACTCTTTGTACCCACTCCAGGTAGTGTGCTCCAGCTCTCTTTACAAATCCTTTTCTATCTCTCACAGCTAGGGACACAGAGCAGTAGCGTAAGATTCCAGAGGCAATTGTCTTTGACCCCTGGAAAAAGTAAGGAAGGGTATTCACTCTAAAAGTTTATCATCAGCAATGCAGCGAGCATTTCTGTTGTTAACAAAGGAGGAGGAATAGACTGGTGGAGAAAGAAACCGACTGGCAAGCTGCGGTAGAGAAGAAGTGTTGGAAGCTGAGTTAGTGACTTAGATTCTCTCATTTGTTCCAAATGGGCAGTGATGGAACCACTGAACACAGATGAAAGTAAAATAGTTGAAATGTCCAATCTGAAGTTTTTATATTTTTCCTTTTTTTGTAGAAGAAACCCAAATTGCTCAATCTGAAGGACTCCTCTATTGCAGACGCCAGCAAGCATGGTGTAGGAACTGAATCTTTATTTTTTGATAAGGTGAGTAATGAGAGAATTTGATTTTATGTTGGCTATTAATATCAAAAGAAAATCACTTCCACCCCTGAGAATGTTTTGTTTTAGGGGCATCAAATGGATTAGGATTTTCTACTTTTTAGCATAGTTTTCAAATTGCTAAACTAGAGAAATGGCTGCATTCTGTATTGGCTTGAGAGGTAGTTTGTGGCAAGATGTGACATTTTTCATAGTGGAAGAAAGCATGTCTTCTCCTCCCCCCCCAAAACACACACACACACACACACACACACGTGTACTGGTCCTCTGGAACACACGTGTACTGGTCCTCTGGAAAGATGATTGGAGCGCCCTCTTGTAAATACATAGGTCTATAATGGGGGGAGTCCTGGCGTGGTGCTGTGGGTTAATGCGCCAGACTTCAAGGCCGTTTGAACTGCAAGGTCAGTGGTTCAAGCTCACCAGCTGTTCCTTGGAAACCCTATACAGGATCGCTGTGGGTCGGAACCGACTCGATGGCACTTAACAACAACAACAATACAATGGGGAAGTGACACTGGACTGATCAGTGGGCTGCTAACCCCAGGGTCAGTGGTTCAAACCCACCAACCCCTCATCTGGAGTAAGTGTAAGGCTGTCTGCTCCCTTAAAGATTAAGAGTCTCAGAAACTAAGAAGCAGTTCTACTCTGTCCTGTATTGGGTGGCTGTGAGTCAGAATCAAATCGACAGTTGGTTTGGACAATGGAGAATGTTAGTTCCTATACCAGTTGTTAGAAACTTAAAATGATTTGTAATCTTCACTTTTGTGATCAATCATTTGTGGTATTTACAGATAGGGTTCATGAGGATTCTGATTTAATCTTATGGTTCCAAAGCTCCCCCAGGTGATTCTAATGAGCCACCAGAGTTGAGACTACTGGTGCGAACTGTGTTGGGTTGATTTTCCTCCTATGTCAGAAGTCAGCTTGGTGATTAACAGACTACTTTCAAGAGGGTAGCTGACAACTGTTTGAGTTTCTTATAAAAACATGAACCAGCCTGGATTGATATAGTGGTAATTTACTCTTGTGTGTGTGTGCTTCTGGGTTTTTGCAGAAGGACAAATAATGATAACTCTGCTCCCTGGCTCTAACATGAACCTTTACTAAGGGCTGCCTTGCTGTATTTTAAGACAAATGTATTGAGTCAAGATCACAATCATCAAACAGCAAGGAGAAGTAGAGGATGGGCACTGTTACAGTTTAAAGAAGAATTAAAAACTGTGTTTGCCAAATACAATGGCAGACCTTATTTGGATGCTGATTTTAAAAATGGATTTTTTAAAGATAGTTATTAGATAGTAGAATATCTGAACATAAGACTCAATATTGTTGTTATTAAGTGCCACTGAGTCGGTTCCAACTCATAGCAACCCTGTATAGGGTTTCCAAGGAGTGGCAGATGAGTTTGAACAGCTGACCTTGAGGTCAAGTACTTATCCTATGGCGTCACATCAGTACTACAATTAGATCCTATTAGGGAGGTTTTTTAAAAAAATAAGTTAATATTTTAGGAGTGACAATGGTTTTTTGTTTGTTTTTAAGTACTTACTTACTAGAGATACATACTGAAGTATGTATATGAATCACCTTCAAAAAGTTCATGGAAAAATTCAACTGATATATAATGGAATTTTCTGATGAACTTTTTGAACCCCTCTTTGTTGATGAAATGTTTGGGATTTGCTTTAAAATTCAGTAGAAAAATTGGGTAGAGATGAAGCAGAATTTACTGTACACTGATCATTGAGGCTGGGTGAGTACAGGGAATTCATTGCACTTTAACTTTTGTGTATATTTAAAAGCTAATAAAAGTAAATAAATTTAGTGTGTTGTGGTAAAGTACATCGTTAGCTAAGAAGTATATATGGCAATATCTAGAATAAGCAAATATTGAGAGAGAGACAAAAGTTCATTAGTGGTTACGAGGCACTGGTGGGGCAATAGTACGAGTTATGTATGCTTAATGTACGGAGGTTCTGTTTGGGGGGATCAAAACCAGTTGGAAATGGGAAGTGGTGATGGTGGTTATTGCTAAGTGCTGTGTAACAATAACCATCGATTCCGACTCAGCAACCCCCTAGGTAAGGTTGTTGTTGTTAAGTACCGTGGAGTCGGTTCCGACTCATAGTGACTCTGCACAGGCTTTCCGAGGCTGTAAATCTTTATGGGAGCAGAACGCCTCATCTTTCTCCCTCAGAACCGCTGGTAGTTTCGAACTGCTGATCTTGAGGTTAGGAGCCCAACTCTTAACCGTCTTTGTGGAAGCGTAAAGCCTCATTTTCCACATAAAGATTGGTGGGCTCATACAGCTGATCTTGTGGTGGTTTGTGGAACTGCAGCTCTAGATTATTCATCTATCTGGGCTAGTTTTGCTTGTGCCTTTGAACATTTAAATTTTTTTGAATATTAAAATGCTCAATATTACAAATGGAGGAAGGAAAAGATCCTTATCAGGGAACAGAAAATACCATATTTTTAAAAATATTCAAGATGGCCAGAGTTTGGAAACATTGTTAACCAAGATTCTTGCTGTAAATATTTATTAAGAGAGGGAGCAAAGCCGTGGGTAACTCTGATATGTTCTGGAGAATAAACGTAAAGTAAAAGTTTTATCTACTCTGGAATCTCATTTTAAAAGTTTTTAGTACAGAAAATTTTAAACATATATAAAATTTAAAATAATAGTAGTATGATCCCTCATTCAACTTGAGCCCTTACCAACACTTAGTCAGTATATTTGGCAGGGAGCACTGTTGCGCTATAGGATAAGCATTAGAAGATTAACTACAAGGTTAGTGGTTTGAGTCCACCGGCTGCTCCTCAGGAGAAAGATGAAGTTTTCTGCTCCCACAAAGGTTTACAAGCCTCAGAAACCCTGTACACGCTCGCAGTACCTAGTGAACTGTACTTTACAACAAGCCAGTATACTTGATCATCTTTACTCCCTCCCACCCACCCAGATGATTTAGAGACAAATACTTTAATGGTTTTCTCTTTAAAATAACTCTTTTCCCCCCTCTAATACATGATCATTATCACAATAAAAATTTTTCCATTGATTCCTTAATATCCTCAAACCTGTGTCAAATTGCCCCAGTTTTGTTATGCATTGTCTCTTGATTTCTGCACTTAACTCACTTTTTGGTTATCTCCGGAAGGTCCGGAAGGCTCTGCGGAGTGCAGAGGCCTATGAAAACTTCCTGCGCTGTCTTGTTATCTTTAACCAGGAGGTGATCTCTCGGGCTGAACTGGTACAGCTAGTCTCTCCCTTCCTTGGGTAAGTGAAATAAGGGGATTAGTCCTAATACAGAGGCAAGATAATTATCACTGGATTGTTGTATGTTTGAGAAGCAAAGGAAATGTAATTGTAGTGGTTCCATTGACTCAGAAGTATCAGTGGCAAAAGAGACCTCCTAGGAATTTTCTAATCCAACGTTATAAAAGAAAAAATCGAAGTGGGGGAGTTAAGTATGTGTTGCCGAATATTTAGGACTGGCGCTAGTCTCTTAATCTGTTGCCCAGTGCTTCATGTATCCCAGGGTTCTAGAATCTTGACTATGTTTCACAACCTAAGAATTAACGGAACACTAAAGCACAGTGTTCTTGATCAGAAGAACGACTGATATTGCAACTTTTCCATCGCTACTGTAATGGATCTGAGAGCATTCTGTAAGCAAAGGGGAAATTGAATGGTGGTCAGGAATGGTGGTCAGGAATGACGCTTTGAACTGCTTTAGCAGGAAATAATAGTTGTCACTGAAATTTGCTCCTAATAGGTTCTGACCTAACACCAAGTGAGCGTGGGTGGGGTTGGGGGGCGGTTGGTGGTGGTGAGGGTTCTAATTGCTTACCAGGTTTTGGTTTGGTTCTTCAGGAAATTCCCGGAACTGTTTAATTGGTTTAAAAATTTTTTGGGCTATAAGGAGTCTGTACATCTGGAAACCTTTCCAAAGGAACGAGCCACAGAGGGCATTGCCATGGAGATAGATTATGCCTCCTGTAAACGGTTGGGCTCCAGCTATCGAGCCCTACCAAAGAGTTACCAGCAGCCCAAGTGTACAGGACGGACCCCTCTCTGTAAAGAGGTAAGGCCTTCCCTAGCAAGAATCACTCCTGAATCCTCCATGTCCTCCAAATGGTAGCAGTACTAGGGATGTAGAACTTAATGAATGAGGACATTGAGACTTCCTGTTCTGTCTTTTAAGAAGAAAATGTCACTTTATTTTAATGAACCTTTTTCTTACCAATAGCCTTTTGCCTTTTGTAAACTTGCTGAACTGGAAACTTACAGAGTAATACAAGGTGGCTTCAAAAAGTTTGCAGAAAATTTGAAAAGATAATGGGATTTTCCTGCAACCTTTTTGAAGCCCCGTCACATTAACTACAGCGTAATGCTTATATAACAATGTTTCTCCCTTCCTCCAAAGTTTTGTCTTTATTTTATTGAGCATGCTTTTCGGTCTCTTCTACTCACAGGTTTTAAATGATACTTGGGTATCCTTCCCTTCATGGTCTGAAGACTCCACCTTTGTTAGTTCCAAGAAGACACAGTATGAAGAACATATCTATCGGTGTGAAGATGAACGCTTTGAGGTACAAGCTCGTTTTTCTTAAGTTAGAGGAAATGAGGATGCTAAATGAAAGGGTACCTTAAGTCTCTCTCTGAATGATGGTTTTTAAGTCTGGTGAGCTTTTACATGTATAGGAGCCCAGTCTTTTGTGGTGTATGCTTATTATACGTCATAGATTTGTCAAATCACTGTTAGTATCAATCATTTTTTAAAATACCAACTGTGATTTATCTAGGGTATTTTAACCCTTCAACTCAAATTGTCCCCTGATGGCTGGATAATAATCCTTTGAATTTTCAGTGGCACTTTAAAGGCTCTTGTGTTCCAACTTTTATGTGGTATATCAAGTTAAACCTGTAGAATTTTCTTGAAGCTCGTTTGCTCGTTTTAGTGATTTTTAGGTCTGTGTATAAGATACTCTTAAGCAGGCATCTAAGTTAGCAAACCAGCTTTGCTGTGAACACTGGAATTTCTGGTATTGATTTGGCTCATTTTGAAAGAAAGTGAAATGTATTCCCATGGCATTGAGAAGGGAAAAGATGGAGCGTACCTGTATCAGGAGGGGAATACTGAATGGTTTGCCTTGAGTCCTCAGTGAATATGAATGTCTAGTTCATTGATGATGTAGTTGTTGTTAAGTGCCGTCGAGTCGATTCTGAGGCTGTACAGGGTTTCCGAGGAGCAGCTGGTGAGCTTGAACCGCAGACCTTGCGGTTCAAACGGCTTTGCAGTCTGGCGCATTAACCCACAGCGTCACACCAGGACTCCATCACTAAAAAGGGGAAACGTTAAGTATCTTCTAAGAAGTACAACAATTTGTTTCTGTAATATGCCGTATTATGTCAAATATGCCATATTATATCAAACTGGCTCTGCTTCACGCAGATGAGGATGTCTTCCTCTTCCTTTTGATCCATACTCATTTAGTTCTCTACCAGTTTTCCACCTTCACATCCTTCAGCTGTTTTCCACTTTTGATTGAAGACCCACTTGGTACCTATCTACTGGCTGTTAATTTTCCATCTCTGCTCCAGTGTTTGAGAGTTGGAACCATTTACAGAAAAAGAAATCTTGACAAAACTCCCTAGGGAGTTTGATCAGACTGAAGGAAGCATTTCTTTTTTTTACGTATGCTTGATAATGTTAGAGGATTGGCTAGGCAAACAGAGCTCATCATCTGTTTGACTGGTTGCCCTATTCTCTCAGCTGGCATACCTGCAAATGGAGGCAACATCCTCATTTACCAGGTTTGATTGTAGTGGTGAAGATGAAAGAAAAGTGTGTGTGCATGTATGTATGTATGTGTAGAATTTGGTGCGATGGGTTAGTTTAATGGGCTTCTCTTTATTGGCATAGCTTAGGTAATGCTGCAATATAGAAAACTTCCAAATCTCAGCGGCTTGACAAAACCAAAAGAGAAGTTTTAATCAGGCCGCATTTGCATTGCTCTTTGACAAAGGACTCTGTTCATCAGAATCACACGTATTTTCACATGTAACATGCACACTTCAAGACCATGTGTACACACAAAATATGCATAGGAAACTAATGCATGACAAACAGTCGTGAGGTTTGGAAAAACCGGATAATGCACATTGTTTATGGAACATGCCATGCTTGGGGACCCAGGCTGACAGAATGCCACCACCTTGAGCATTGTCAGTTAGTAAAGGGAAAACAAAGGTCAGAAGGAGCTCCCACCCTTACATGCTCCAGCTTAGAAGTAGCAAACATCACTTCTGCTCATCCTCTTCATGTCTCATGTGTCAGAACTAATTACATGGCCCTCTTCAGTCACAAGGGAACCAGGTAGCTCAATTCCACTATTTCTGCTTTTGATTCTGAGCATGCTTCTTGTGTTTCTTTTTAGCTTGATGTAGTTTTAGAGACCAATCTGGCAACCATCCGGGTTTTGGAAGCAATACAGAAGAAACTTTCCCGCTTGTCTGCTGAGGAACAAGCCAAATTTCGCCTGGACAACACCCTTGGTGGCACATCAGAAGTCATCCATCGAAAAGCACTCCAAAGGATATATGCTGACAAAGCAGCAGACATCATTGATGGCCTGAGGAAGAACCCCTCCATTGCTGTCCCAATTGTTCTTAAAAGGTACCTGAGTGAATATGGCTGTTGTGCTTAAGTACGCTTTGTGACAAAATGCCATTCAGTAAGGCTAACTTTTCATTTAGTTGTCCAAAGAGACCTCTGTTTCTTTCTACCTTGGTTGTTGGGAATCTGATACATAGTGGGGTAATAGAACTTCGTAGCTTCTATGTAGCCAGCATTCAAGAAAACACCATTAAAAGTCCATAGGCAAAGGACTGAGTTGTAGCTGAGGAACTGGCGACCAGTGCTTCAGCCTTTGCAGGGCCAGTTCAACAAGATGGCAGATTAGGCAGATGAGCTATGCGGACCCTCAACAACAAACATAAGAAAGACAAACTAGACACGAGATGAAAAATCTGGCACCCTGAACTTCAGAAGAAAGCTTAGAAAGGTGGATGGAGTGCTTACTGGGAGGAGAGGCCAAGCAGGGACAGCATGGGGAGGAGACTAACTCATGAACGGCTGGCCAGATGCTGCTCCACCATCTTGTGAGCAACTTTGGCAACAGAGGGAGTTTTGGCATTCCCATAGGTGACAGAAAAGGTGAAATTTTTTCTTCCCCCACACTCCCTGGTGACCAGAAGTATGGCCAAGTTATAGGTGATCAGTGTCTATGCAAGTGTGAAGGTAAGGAACTAAATGAAAAAGAATTTAAAAAGAATAATTAGATACATTCTAAGCATCAATAGAAAGAAAGATAAAGGAAAGCAAGAAGAAACACAATAAAAACTTTAGAAGAATTCACGTAAAAACTATAAGAACAAACAGATGGAAAGAAATGCAAATTTTGAAATAATACAAAACCTGCAATTAAAGATCCAGAAGATCAATATTAAGGTCTTAGAAATGAACAGTACATTGAAAGGGCAAAGTAGTAGCTACAAATCAAAGGAACCCTTAATTGTGAGCTTGAAGATGAATCTCTCAACAGTAGTTTGCTAGAAAAACAGTAAGAAAAAAGAATGAAAAAATCCAAAGAAAGCCTAAGAATTATGTGAGACACCATGAAGAGGGACGACTTAGAGGTGAGAAAATTCTCAAACAGGTAGAAGCAAGCACAGAGAAAATTGTCAGAGTTGTTTGAAGAAAACTTCCCTAAGAATATGAAAGATGAGAGGATAAACATAAAGAAGCTGAAGAAACCCCAAACAGGATGGATCCTAAAAAAAAATCACCACAACACAGCATAATCAAACTTTCTAAAATCAAAGACAAGGAAGGAATCCTGAGAGCAACTCAGGGATAAGCAAAAAGTTGTCTACAAAGGAGAAACCAGTAAGACTAAGCTCTTGATTTTTTTTCAGCAGAAATCATGCAGGCAAAAAGGCAATGGGATGACATATGTAGAACTCCGAAAGAAAAAAATTGCCAACCAAGAATCATATACCCAGCAAAGTTGTCCCTCAAATATGATGGTGAAATTCGGACATGTCCTGATAAACAGAAATGAAAGGAATTTGTAATGCTAGACCAACTTTACCAGAACTACTAAAGGGTGTTCTTTGGACAGATAACCAACAACACCAGGCAGCAACATGAGATTACCGTACAGGACAACACCACCTGTAAATCAATCCAGATATAGAAGTATTTAAAGGAAAACAAACCTACGAGACGAGAGGAATCAGGGAACTAGAGATACCAACCACAAAGCAAAAAGGGAATAGTGTAAATACAGGACTTCAAAATGGCAAGAAAGTCCAGTACATTTGAAAATAAAGCAAATGTTTTAAGTAGGGGAAAAATTAATAAATTATAAGGCAAACCCAAAAAAAAAAAAATACACCTGCACATCAAAATAAAAAAAGGAAAATCATATAAACATTTAGTAAACATCAAAAATGAAAAGAAAACCAACAAACAAAATGAATTTAGCTTAGAAAAGTACATGGGACAAAGAAACACCACCACACAGAAAAATGACATTAGCTTATACCTACTGATAATTATACTGGTACCTATCAAGAGACACAAAGAGCAAAATGGATAAGAAAACAGGATCCTTCAATATGATGTCTACAAGAGACATGTCAAAAAGATGGAGACATCCTAAACGCCCATCAGTGTAAGAATGGATAAACTTTGGTACATACCTGTGGAAGAATGGATAAACTTTGGTACATACTAACACAATGGAACATTGAAGAATGATGATGAATCTGTGACGCACCTAACAACATGGTTGAATCTGGAGGATGTTGTTAAGTGCCATTGAGTCAGTTATGATTCCTAGTGACCCTGCATAGGGTTTCCGAGGAGTGGCTGGTGTTTGAACCACCAACCTTGTGGTTCATACTGACCTTGCAGTCCAGTGCGTTTTGGTTGATCACAAAAGGACAAATAATGTATGACGCCAATGTTGTAAACAGTTAAGATTTTCTTGGTAAAAGAATCTGTAATGGTTACAGAGATGAAGGGGAAATTATTCATGAATCAGAGGGTAGATGTGTGTTAGCATGGGTGACAGGGTAGGCAAATGTGGGAGGTTAACAGAGGAAAGATGAAGGTAGTGGGAGAGACAGGGAGGAATACAATAGTTCAAGTGAATCAAGGTAGATGCTATTAACTGTTGGTACATGGAGGGAATTGCAACCATGTAAGTATATGATTTGTTGAATGTAAAACTGATGATCTGCTCTGTAAACTTTCACTTAATTCATAATTTAAAAGTCACCAATAAAAGTCCATACTATCAGACCTGGTATGAGCCATAAACAAAGAAGGTTGACATTTCTCAATTTGTAACACATTAAATGTATTGAGTGCACTGTGTGTTTAAAGGGATGCTTTTAAATACAGAAAAGAAAACAACCTCCCACGTTCTTGCCAGTTGGCACTAATTATTGTTAACATCTTAGTTTGTTTTCTAGTAAGAAAAATTACTCTTTGTCTTTGTAAAACTGATACATACTCATCAGAAAACTTCTATGCTACTGTTTTTACTAGCAATGTCGTCTTTTTCCTAACAGTCTTCATGTCAGATGAAGGGATAAAAGAGCATTTGTACCCACCTAAGGCTAGGCATCAAGGAGGCCAGAGACTGGACTGAGCCTCAGTCTCCTCTAAGTCCACGGTGCTCCTGACCACACTGTGAACCCTTCCTGAGATCTGATTCCTCTCATTTCATCTAGTCACAATGTGTCATGATTGGCTTCATAGTTCCACAAATTCCCAAAGTTTGTTCCTTCCTCTCTTCCCCTCAAGAACTGACACAGATTGATAACCTCTCATTGCATTAAATTTTTGAGATTTAGACTGTTCTTCAGTTCTAGTGCTGCTTTTTCCTTGTGAATCTTCTCTTCTGGAGCATTAGGATCAGTTCTAATCCCAACTTCTCAGACTGTCCAAAGGAGCAGTATTGTGCATGTTCTCCACTCTTGAACTTTTTACATTCACATTAGCTTACTATATGCTCTAAGAAGTCCTACAGCAAGGAAACAGGTTTAACTAACCAAGGAAGAGAGCCTTTTTTTCAAGGAATACTTACTAACATCTCAAGGGGTTTCTGTGGAATGCTGTTTCACATGTAACTATTCTAGGTAAGATTTCTGGCTTTGGGACAAATTACTTCCCCAAATTAAGTCCTGAATGAATAACTGCTCTTGTAACAGTTCAAGACTGTTGGATAGCATTTATCCTAAGTGGTCAATAAATTTGACAGGCCTCTTATATATTCTGACCTTTGAAATATTTCTAAAATACTCCTGGCATATTTCACTTCAAAACCCTCTGAATTGTGTGTTGTTTTCTGTCTCCTCCCCCGTCCCTTACTAGGTTGAAGATGAAGGAGGAAGAATGGCGAGAAGCTCAGAGAGGGTTTAACAAGGTGTGGAGAGAACAAAATGAGAAATACTATTTGAAGTCTCTGGACCATCAGGGTATCAACTTTAAACAGAATGACACCAAGGTCCTGAGGTCTAAGAGCTTACTCAACGAGATTGAGAGTATTTATGATGAGGTGAGCTGGGGGGTTTTACATGTGTGAGAGAACTCTGCCATCTTTATTTTCAACCTAACCGTCTAAGAAATTACCTTTGTCATATGGAAATGAGACCCTCCAGGACTTACTGATTCTTGCGTCATAGCTGTCATAACATTTTGTATTCTTGATTTTACCCATTTCCTCTATATCTAGGCTGTTTCACTTGTCTCCTAATTTATCTTCCTTTTCATTTTACACCACTAACCTCCCCCATCACCACCACCCCAAAATAGTTCCCTCGAGTGATACCAGCTTCCTACACCACACTCTTGTTACGTGCTGACAAGTTGGTTCTGATTCATATCAACCTGTATAGGGTTTCTGAGGCTGTAAATCTTTATGGGGTAGAAGTCTCCTTTTTCTCCCTCAGAATGGCAGTGAGTCGGAGCTGCTACTGTGGCTAGCAGTCTAGTGCCTATCTACAGTGCAGCCAGCCTTCCAAACTCACTCTAATCTTTGTTTATTCAGCACGTTGACCAGGACCATCCATAGTACTGGAATTGGGGATTCAGGGTTGAATAAGATACGAGTTCTGCTTTCTATGAGCTCACGGTCTTAGGGTGCTATTATGGATAGAAACATAATTACAGTGTAGTTGAGAATTTCATCAAGTGGTATGATCCTGAATTTTAAACAACACAAAAGGTAGAGAGAATAGTAAGTAAACACTCATGTAAACCTAAATAATCATCTGTGTTTTGTCAATTTTGTTGTCTCTCACCCTCCATTCCTTACCTAGGAAAATATTTTAAATCTCTGGCCTTTTATGATACCCTGTGTAAATACCAATAGAGAACTTTCAATGGTGGTCCCAGTTCTGTCCTATCATTCCTAGAAGCCCTGAAAGTCTAGAAGGTATTAGTATTCTGACATCAAACCACATCTCCCCTATTACCATTGTGTTAACTAGGAGGAGCACCACAATTATTAAGAGCAGCTCTTAATTATTGGATTGGAAAACATCTAGCCACTTTGCTCTGTGGTGGAGTGTACTGCTGGTGTAACCTCCCAGGTTGTCTGTTGCCCTAAGCACGTCATATAATACTTCTTGTATCTTTCTCTGTCCCATCAGAGGCAAGAACAAGCTACGGAAGAGAATGCTGGAGTACCAGTTGGTCCACACCTCTCGCTTGTCTATGAAGATAAACAGATACTGGAAGATGCTGCTGCTTTGATTATCCACCATGTGAAGAGGCAGACAGGCATTCAGAAAGAGGACAAGTATAAAATCAAGCAAATCATGCATCATTTCATTCCAGATCTGCTCTTTGCTCAAAGAGGTGATCTTTCAGATGTGGAGGAAGAGGAGGAAGAAGAAATGGATGTCGATGAAGCCACAGGAGCGGCTAAGAAGCACAATGGTGTTGGGGGCAGCCCCCCGAAATCCAAGCTACTTTTTAGTAACACAGCAGCTCAAAAGTTAAAAGGGATGGATGAAGTATACAACCTCTTCTATGTCAATAACAACTGGTATATTTTTATGCGACTACACCAGATTCTTTGCTTGAGGTTGATGCGAATTTGTTCCCAAGCTGAACGGCAAATTGAAGAAGAAAACCGGGAGAGAGTATGGGAGCATGATATGCCAGGCGTACGACGAGACAAGAGTGACAGCCCTGCCATCCAGCTTCGTCTCAAAGAACCTAGTGAGTGCCGTGGGTGATTTACAGAGGATGTGTGGGCTGGAAGACTTCAGGGCCAGTTAGCCTCATGACTGCTTGCTTTTGTGGCACATTGCATAGACCTTAGAACAGACGAGGGTGTAAATCCTGTCTCGCCAATTTACATGTTATAGGATATTACTTAAACTCTCTGAACCTGTTTATAAAATGGAGGTGGTGGCTGTCACCTTTGGGGGTGGGTAAGAGAAGTGTGCTTGGATCACAGCCAGCCAAGCCGGTCACGGGTTGGAACCATGAACCACCAGGGAGGCGAGAATCTTTTGTTGTCTGTTTCCCAAATGACAGTTCTCTGGGTAATATTGCAAAGTGTTTCACGTGACAGAGAAAGACTCAAATGTCTGACTCGATGCCATTCCATGGCAGAACATTAATTCTTAGTTTTTCATGCTTAAGACAGATGTGAGGAAAAGGAAAATAAGTAAAAATGCTAGAAAGGATGTCACCCTATACTTTGAGTAATTCTGGGGTGCCTGCTTTCAGATAACTGTTAAATTTGTAAATTAAGTGCTTGAGCTGTAATCCAAACCTTTTTTCATGAAGTATTTATTTTGAAGTTTTAAATAGCCAATTTGTAGAGTGAATTTTGTTATAAGTGAAGCTTATGTCGGAATCCCTAGCTAGCCTTCTATGGCTGAAGAACTAATGACCCTGAAAATTAATTTTTGTTGTTTTGTTGTTGTTGTTTTTTTTAACTTTTTATTGTGAATTGCGTGACGGTTACAGGACAGATCATCAGTTCCACATTCAACAACAAATCATACACTTCTTGGCACCTGGGAACTAATTATTAAAGCCTTTGTATTATTCTGAGCTTGAAAGACACAAATCCTGGACCTCCGTGTGTGGTAATTCAATCACACTGGGTGGAAATTAGAGATAGTTAGATAATAGTGTCATCCTGCTTTGACCACTGACTTCATCCTGTTTAAAATTTGCCATATTTTTGCATATAACATGCATAGGAAGCTAATGTGTGAGGGGGCTGGGACTGCTCAACATTTGAAACACCATGTAATTTATGCATTATTTGTGTGAAAGCACAGGGTATTGTTTGGTCTTGAATGACAGTGCCAACTCTAATACCGATGATAGTTCATGTTCACAAGTCTGGTTTGTGGGCTCATAGCTTTATTCTGGTGTATTCCTCAGGCCCGTGCCTATGATGTGGCATGAACAAGGTGATATTCTGTGATGAAACTCGAACCAATTGTTTATTTTACACAATATTGACCCTGTTTGCCCTCTTTTTAATGAGTACATAGCATGTCAGATAAATGGACACGACTTTTGCTTTCTACTTTTTCCTCCTTGTATTAATGAAAGAGAGTTGTTTTTGTAATTTTTTTCTTTCATTTTAGTAAACTTTTTACTAAAGTGCTATATATATATCCAGAAAAGAATACAGATCAGAATTGTGTACACCTCAGCAAAGTCTTACAAATGAACACACCTATTTCTAACCAGCACTCAAGTCTATAAACAACTTAAGGACTACCCTAGTAGTGGCCTCCCCCATGCCCCCTTCTAGCCCTTATTGCTCCAAGAGTGAGGATTGGCTTGATTTTTTGAGACTGAAGAGATGGGATTTGCGCGTTCTTGCACGCCACATAAATAGGCCTTGTTATTTTTTTTTAAAACAAGCTAAAGGCCTCTACTTGCACTGCTGACTGCCAAGTATGTCCTTTAACAACCAATAAAATTCATTCTAGCTAGTGGTTGACGTGATTTGTGTGCAGCAAATACAGATCATTTTTTGCAGTTTGTGAAGTGCAAGGGTAGAATCCATTTTAAAACAAAAGGACGTTGACAATTGCAGACACTTCGTTATTCATAGAGAATTTAATTTGTTCTCCTATTTTTTGACTCCCAAGAGGCTTCCCCGTGATAGAGTATGGCTCTCTGCCTTTTCTCATCTGCACTTAAAAATAACTTTATGAGCAAGTGAGCCTGTGAGGGATACTCTGGTGCATCAGGTTCCTCTCAGCCAGGGAGCCAACAACTTTTGGAAGGACTTTCTTTACTGGGACAGTTTGCTCTCCTTTCATACAGCAGTTCTGTAAGTGAGCGTCTTTGTAGCCTGGTCAGTTGGAATGTTAGAGGTTGCTGTTAAAGTTGCAATGTCACCCTCCTCTGATAAGACGGGGCTGGTGGTTGTAGCCACCTGTCAGATTTCATCTCTATCAGTAGCAGATTGAGTGGGTGTGTTTTGAATATCAAGCTGTGTCCTCTCCAATGCTAGTTAGGCCGGCTGTGGGATTTGCCCTGCCCTTTGTCCTGAGCTTTTTTTAGCAGAGTATAAGACCTCACCTATCCCTTTTTTCCTGCAGTGGATGTTGAGGTAGAAGATTATTACCCAGCTTTCCTGGACATGGTGCGGAGCCTGCTGGATGGCAACATAGATTCATCACAGTATGAGGATTCGTTGAGAGAGATGTTCACCATTCATGCCTACATTGCCTTTACCATGGACAAACTGATCCAGAGCATTGTCAGACAGGTGAGGGGTCCTGGAGTCAAGGGCTGGTAAGAGGAGAATTCCTTACCTAGAGACGAAGCAGGTCAAGAGAAAAGGCAAGCTTTCTGTTGGAAAAGGAATGGCAGTTTTCTCTAAATAAATAAATAAATAAATAAATATGAAGCAATTATCCTGTGGAGAGGAGAGAGGGGTTCATGAGATGTCTGATTTCTCATGTTAACAAAAAAGAGTATTTAGCCACTTTTAATTAGCAGTTTTGTTCTTTTTTCACTTAGTATATCCTCACAGCATCTGAACCTACCACATACCCACTGTCTTGTCCCTTTCTTGCTGGCTGCCTATAGAAAGAGCAATGGTCCTGGCCCCAACTCCCTACCCTACTGGTCCTAACTGTTCTCAGGCAATAGACTATGAACTGGCCTACTCTTATCTTCCAGGGGAAAGCACATAGTATGTAACATTTTTCTCTTCTGTAGATGTTGGAAATTCCATGTATTTTTCTTTAGTAATTAGAAATTCTTTTTGCAGGAAGAGTTTCATATAACATCTGTTATAATACTTGGCCCACCTCACTCATCTGAGGTTACTTCCAAGTTAGTTTGTAGTTGGTTTTATGGTTTGTCCTATAGCACCCTGGGAGTTTGTAAATATGTGGTTTATTAACATAATAGCTTGTAACAGATAATGTTTGTACTTCTTTGCCCTGCTGAGTTCTGAGCTCTGAAAGGGATCAGGGAATTCTAGAGTCCACATTGCAACTGTGGAAGGATAAAAAGCTTGTTGCTTGTTGCTTTTTTGGGCTGTATGGTGAATATGGTGAATCCTTTGCAAAGTACTTATGCTTTTGCCTTGAATTGGGAGGCATGCTTGTATCTGCATCCTTCCCACAGTATCTGCTCTGGAGTGAAGAAGGGCTGGTCTTGGGGTAAGTGCTCACAGGCAGTTCTTATCTTCTGAGGAGGCTCTTAGACCTTTGACTGCTGCTACTTTCATCAGAGGAGTTTTTCATACCACCACCAGCTTTAAAAGAAATTAAAAGAGTAGATGTAGTCTGTGTTGTGAGTCATAATATATACTGCCCCAACCTTTTTTTTTTTTTTTTTAAATGGAAATGGAGGTTTACTCTAGAAAATCCAAATCTACTGAGTTTGTTTTTTTTTTTTTAATTTAAGGTTTTTATT